TTCAATTGCGGTCGTAAATATTATTAAATTTATCTAACTGGGCCCGTTGTTAAGACCTTTTACCTCAGGTAAACCACTGCTACCTGAAACCGGGCCTTTTATACTAATATCGATTAACCCAGGATCTGGTGACACAATCAGGCCTTCACAGTTTTTTTACGATTTCCCTCCATCCTTCTCTGTCCTGGGCTAGTTGTTCGGCTTCATGTAACCCTTGGTTAATCAATATTTTTGTTTGATCTGCCCAACGGCTTGGAGATCTTCCCCTAGGTCTCTTTCTTTCAACTCTACCCTCGACTATCACTTTTTCTATCGTGCCTGTTCTTCTAGCTCTTCTATGTCCAAAATACTGCAAATATCTTTGTTGTATTTGTTTAAGCAATCTATCCGGTACTTAAAGTTGTTCTAATATCGATACGTTAGTGCCATGATCAATCCAGGATATTCTCAACATGCGGCGTATACTCACATTTTAAAAGGGTCCAGTTTATTTTTATCCGCTTTCTTTAAGGTCCACGTTTCGGATGCATATGTGGCTATGGGAAAAATGAGCTATGCTAGAATTTTTCCAAATTGCTATCAGTTCCATCATAGCTGTTCAAGCAATAGTCAACCTTCTACGCATTTCTCTGTCACACCCTCCGTCTTTTGTTATTAGGGACCCCAGGTATATGAAAGTATTTACTACTTCAAAGCCCCCAACTTCTTTAATGTGTTGAAGATTATTCCGAGCTCTGTCTACTATCATGATCTTTGTCTTACTCCTATTTAGCTTTAGTCCATATGTTTTGCTTTTTTTCTCCAAACATATCATTATCTCTTCCATTTCTTCCTGATTTGCCGCGATTATTAAAGTGTCATCAGCATATCTCAAGTTATTGATTTTTTGACCTCCTACTGATATTCCGCCCTTCCATCCGTCTAGTACCTTTCGCATAATGTGTTCGCTGTAAATATTAAACAGAGTTGGCGAGATTATGCATCCCTGCCTGACACCTGCCTCTGTTCTGAAATGATCGGAATGGGTGTTGTTTATTTTTACTGCGCACTTATTATTTTCATATAGACTTCTAATTAGTTGAATTAAGTGGTGGGGTGTTCCCATTTCCGCTAGTATATACCATAGCTGCTGCCATTTGACTTTATCGAAGGCCTTTGTGTAATCCACAAAGCACATATGCATAGGAGTATTGCATTCACGAGTTTTTTCGGGGATGTTTATAGTCGACATTAACTGAAGTCAACTATTTGCTGCTAAACAAACTTTCCCTTTATTTAAAAGAAATATTTTAAATTAAATCTTTGCCATATCCTAAAACTGTTGGTTCACATAGTTCACTAATATTTCTAGCAACCGCCAGTCGCCCGTTATAATCAGGTACGCAGAAAGCAGAAAGTAAAAAGAAGCAATGGATCACGGAAGAAATTTTAGATTTAATGGAAGAAAGACGTCAATATAAAAACAAAGATAATCAATGTACAAAAAAGTGGATAAACAAATAAAATACAGAATTAAGAAAGCGAAAGAACAATTGTTAAAAGAACAACGCGCAGAAATATGCAAATATGAACCTTGTGTTGAATACTAACGACAAATTAAAGAGATGGACAGAAGACATCAATGTTGCTATAACAACAATATAATGAAATAGCAAGAAATGCGTTTGTAAAAATGAAAACAATTCTCTGCAACAAAGACCTTAGATTAGAACTGAGAGTTAGAGCACTGAGATGCTACGTGTTTTCGATACTGCAATATGGACTTGAAAGCTGGATATTGAAGCAAGAACACATAAATAAGTTACAGTCCTTTAAAATGTGGTGTTACAGGAGGATGCTTAGAATAGCATGGACACAGAAGAATCCTAACACGGAAGTATTGAGAGAAATGGACAAAGAATGCGAAATAATAATTACAATAAAAATAAGAAAGTTACAATATCTGGGACACGTAATGAGGGGACAGCGATAAATACTGCTATGGCTGATAATACAGGGAAAGATAAGAGGAGGAAGGAGGATAGGAAGAAGGAGAGTGTCATGGTTGAAGAATTTAAGGGACTGGTTTAAATGCAGTTCTATAGAACTCTTCAGAGCAGCAGTAGATAGAGTAAAGATAGTGATGATGACATCCAACCTCCGATTGGGAGACGGCACTTAAAGAAGATGTTTAGAGTGATGAACATTTCAAAGCAGTAAAGCGAATTTTTAGCTCATTATAAAATTATGTACAGAAAAACTACACAAATCAAGGCAATAGTCTACACTGATTCAGACTATGCTGGTTGTCTAGATTCAAGAAAATCTACTAGTGCTAGGGCAATGGCCCTATTACCTGGAAGAGCCAAAAACAGAACATAGTGGCACAATCAACAACAGAGGCTGAATATGTGTCCTTGGCTTTTGGTGTGAAGCTTTATGGCTTAAAATATTTCTAAAAGAGATTGGAATTGCTGTATCACCTGTCAACATCTTTGTTGGTAATCAATCTGTCATTAAGCTAATACAGATACAACAATTTCATAGCAGAACGAAAAATATTGATATTAGGGTTCACTTTGTTCGAGATGGGTGTGAAAACAAGAGTATCTGTGTAAGCTATGTAAATTCAAGCAACCAGTTAGCCGATTTGTTCGCCAAAGCATTGTCAAAAACAATGACATTTTATTGAATAGGTTGAATTTGTCAATTTAACTATCTATTTGTTAACTTGTATCAGGTCTTTGTTTTATATTTGTTGTCAAATCTTGAATGAGCGGAAGTGTTAGAATAAACTCCTGAACTAAAGTAATATTAAAGATTTGAAAAGAGAAGAATTTTGATTTTTAGGTTATGTCACTTCTTGTCAAACTGTTAGATGTAACCACATGTTTTGTTAATATTCTCAGGCTTATTATTCATTAAAATTTTTACTAATCGATCGTGGGGTTGCTTTATTCATCAGAACCAATAAATACAGTTGGACTGATTTAATGTATTTTTAATTCATTCTGGAAAATTTAATAAATGTGTATTGTTTAAAAATATATTTTTTATAGTAATAATTCATTTAGTATATTTCTTACTGAGTTATTTAACTAACTTGTATTATTTGAAAACAGCTTTTGTTGAAAACTTTCAAAGAAATCGAAATACTGACAATTTACATTACTTTTTGCACACACTGTATGTTTAGTGACCTCACAATTTTATTGCAATTTTTTAAAAGAAACCTTAACAATCCCTTCTCTTTTTCCGCCTTGGGCGAAGAGCAGATATAAATAAAAGGCCTACTACAAACCATTACATGTTTATGGCTGAGCTCCTGATGATAATTAAAAAACCGAAACGGTTTTCAAATGTTTCATCCTTTTCGCTATATTTTAGAATACAAAAGTTACTCTGGATTAATGAACATTTCCAAATCCACCGTTATTGTTTAACCAACTTTGTAAACCTGAAATAACTTGTTAGTTATGTTGTATCAGTGAAGGTAACTTTATAATTACACATTTATGAAACTGCTCTTTTTTCACTACATCTGAAATTATTTTGTTAAAGTTTTAGCTATAGAGAATTATATACTTGTTTAAAGAGTAAACAGAAAATTTTCTAACTAATTAAAACTTTAGTAATGTGCTGGAACTTTTCTAATACTTTTAAGCCATAATAAATGCACTATAACTGAATAATCAGAAACGATATAAAGGATGTCATCAAATTTACGCAAGATTTGAAATTGAGTGAAAAGGTAACAAGGAAATTTTAAGACACTGGATCAATGGGTGATCTTATACTATATGGATAAACTATCACGAACTGCAGCTTAGTACCTATTATTACCAACAGCGACGAACAAATAAAATAAATTTTTGAACAGCTGACTTGAAAAGAAAAACTATTTCAATGAAATTAAATCGTATACAAAATTACGACACAACAATGCGTACTTCATCAGTAAAGGCGTAAAAGCCAATTATCTGATACACAATTTCCTTATACACTTGTAAAAAAATTCACAATTTTTAATTAAAAACCTGTTTCCTTTTCAAACTTAAATCTTTCGTGATTTTTGAGACACACCACACTAAACAACGTATCCTGCTGTAATTGTTTTCTTTCTACGAAATTTGTGACACTAAATTACTTGTTCTGTCAACTACTGGTCATTAGACCCAGATTCTTGAAGACCAATTAACGTCTTATAAATTGATTGTACTCTTCGTAGCTTCAACAAACTCCCCATCACTTAACTGTCGATGAAGCCAAGTCATTATAGTCGTGCAGATACATTATACACCATTGGACAAAGATAAAGTGAATATAAAGAAGGACTGGATATATAATACAAAACTTCGTGTATATATATATATATATATATATATATATATATATATATATATATATACCGGGTGGTGAATCGCCAAATGGGTCATAGGAAACTCAATGGAAAATTGTAAATTGTTAAATTCCTGCGTCCCTAATAATTTTACATCAAAAGTCATAAAAAACTATTTGTAGAGGACTGAAATTGTATTAAAACCAATGTTAAAATTGTTCTATGAATTAAACGTACTCCAAAGTTTTGCAAAAATATAATACATTTTTCAGGCAACTTCTTAAAGTCAGGCCACATGCAGTACAAGAATGTGTATGACATGTTTGGTCATATTGATGATTTTGATATTTGACAATATTTGAATTGTCAATATTTTTATTTTATGAATAAATTATAAATAGCAAATTTTCACAAATACTATTACTACCAGTGAACAATAAATAGTACTTTGTAAACAATAAATTATATTGTTTACAAATCAATAAAGTTGATGGAATGTACTCAGTTCGCAGTACTCAGAAAAAATCGCAATAATGTTCTATTCAAACAATAGTGCGAGTACTGCCAGATCTTTATTTAACGTAAGATATTATAATATACTCCAATTCAATTTGCAGGACTCCTTGTTGCTTCAATAATTTGATATATAAAAAAAAAGTATACACAAATTGGGAAAACTTACGTTGTCCAGGTGGAATTGAGGGCAAAGCGTCGGTTCTCGGTGTTGTGCAGTTTACTCCAGAACCTTTTCTTGTGGCGTTTGTGATTAAAGTCTTATCGAGAGCGGTGAAGGCACATAAAAAATGCCCCTGTAGAGTTGGTAAGTTATCGATCACTAGGTCGAGCTGTAAAAAATATATTTTTTTGTAATTTATATAATGGTTAAAAATCATTTAAACATTCTAAAGTTCAACGGTACATTGTCAGCAGTTAAAGAGATAAAATATCAGACAATGAAAATGCGCGGACGAATCGGTCTTATAAGAGAAATCTAGAAATGTATAAATTGCTCAAAGTACTCTCCCCTGTCACTTAGTGTGATTATGGTACAAAATCATGGTACAAAAAGAGCGGGAATACAAAGAGTTCATGGAGGTTTGGGGATGGGAATAAGAAATGATGAAGGAAATAGTGTGATTGACTTTGCAGTGGCATGGGATTTGGCTGTCATTAATACGTTCTTTATGAAGACTGTATGTACGTTACCTATAGTAGCGAGGGAGGGGAAATTCAGATAGATTTTGTGCTAGAAGAAGTCAGCTAAAAGAGGTTGCGAACTGTAAAATGATAAAGGGTGAATGTGTAGCTAGTCACGACCAGTTATAGCGGATACGGAGGTAAAGGTGAGACAGAAAGGAAAGCAAATAGGAAAGAAAATAAAGTGGTGGAAGATAAAGGATAAGAATTTGGCATAGTCTTTAAGAGTAGAGTGATGGAAGAGCTTGAGTAAAAAGATACAGTAAATGACTGGTGGAAAGCCAGCAGTGAAGTTGTGGTGCAAGTGGGAGAGGAAGTGATGGTAAAAACATCTGGTAAAGGGTCTCCTAGGGACAAAGAAACTTGTTGGTGGAATGATGAGGTGCAACAGAAGATTAGAGTGTTTACTGTTTTATTGCTTAGTGGACAATCCGAAGAAAATAGATTTGCAAAAGGTTTAATTGGAATTGTCTTTAGGGACGGTTTTACTGTCTTTACACCCATATAATTCTAAATTGATTCATCTCATTTGAAGTCCCTGTCTATTTTATTGTAAATATGGTCTCGTGTGGCCATCTGGGCCTCTATTACTATGTCAGACAAACTCAGATTCACCATGTCCACCCCCGAATATTGTGGGACCAAGTAAATGCTACAATGTGTTTGTGCCAGTTAATATTTCGGGAACTCCACCAATAAAAAAAGTGCCAAAAAGATGCAAGTATATTCAACCACCAAGACCAAAATCTTATGCGCCTCTAAGAAAATGTATAAACCAGTTGTCATTATTTCGGAAAACAATTTATGTGTTGGTGAAGGTAAGATATCAGATAATACAGTAAACGGAATGTCTTTCCAGCCACATAAAGCTAAACCAGCACTGTGAACACAAATTGTTAGGAACAGAACCGATGCAAGATATTACTACCAATAAACAAGAAGGTTAGAGAGGAGAGATATGCTAGAAAGAGGTATGACAGGTCTAAAAGAGAGGAAGATAAGGATATATACAAGGTGGCCAAGAGAGAAGCAAAGCGCGATGTAGCTACTGTTAAGGAAAGATCGTCTGCACAGCTGTATGAAGAGTTGGAAACACTCGAGGTGATGAAAAGGTTATACAGCATTGCTAAAGCAAGGGACAAGTCATAAGAACTTGGCCCACGTGCGGCAGATTAAGAGTGCAGATATAAGAATGTTAAGAACTGATGTTGAAGTAAAGCAAAGATGGTATGAGTACTTTAGTAATTTGCTAAATGAAGAACACCAGAGGAGAGACAGAGGATGCGGGATCCCAAATGAGAATGCAATACCGGGGATAGCGAGAGATGAAGTTGTCGAGACGTTAAATAGGATGAAGAACGGTAAGGCAGTAGGACCTGATGAAATACCTGTGGAAGTTTGGAAGGCTCTAGGAGCGGAAGGGGTTGATATTTTATGGCAAATGATGAGTATTATATATAAGGAAGAAAGTATATCTAATGCATGGAGAGAGAGAGTGTGTGATGGTATCATTGTATAAAGATAAAGGGGGCATTCAGGACTGTAAAAACTATAGAGAGATAAAGTTAATGTCGCACTCAATGAACATTTGGGAGATAACTGTTGAGCAAAGCTTAAGGAGAGAGACACATCGATAGGAAAAGAACAGTTTGGGTTAGTGCCACGAAGGAGGATAACGAATACCTTGATGTTGATAGAGAAATACAGTGAGAAGAAAACAGAGCTAAATTTGATATTTATAGATCTTGAGAAAGCCAAAACTCAATCGTACTTCAAATCGCACAATATTCCATATTTTGCGATACAGGGATAAAGTCCCTAGTATTCTCCATTAATTGTTTAAACTATTGGCAGGTACTCAATTGAAAAAACTCCTTTAGGATCCAAAAAATGTACTATCTTCAGAACTTTTAAATCTAGTAATAATCTTTTGTTATCTTTCTATTTTGTAAAAAGTATAAATCAAGCTAAATTTAACTTGCTCTAAAACCTGGAAGACGAAAGATATGTGGTAAGGGGAGCAGACGAGAGGGAAGAGGAACCACCAACGATTCTTGAAGTTAAAGATGCAGTTAAAAAACTAGCAAGAAACAAATCACCCGGAATAGAAAATCTCCAAGCTAAACTATTACATTACAGCAGCTTCTAAAAGAAATATGGACACAGAAATCCGTCCCCAATGATTGAAATATTGGAATACTGTGCACCATACACAAAAAAGAAGAAATAACAACTGAAAAATAAACTGAAACAAAGTTTGGAAAAAACACTGGAATATGGCATTGATACTCATCACATATTTATAGACTAGAAAGCAGCCTACAACTCTGCGAATAGAAGAGTAATGTTCAAAGTAAATAAAGAGCAATGTGCGCAATGACGGTACTATTTCAAAAATGCAGGGAATATAATATAAACGTATTCATATGTTATATAGATTTCCAAAAAGCTTTTGATAGAGTCCAACATGGTAAACTCATACATGCATTGTAACACATACACCTAGATCCCAAGGATATTAATTTAATCAAAAATCTGTACTACAATCAAACAGCGGTCGTACGGGTGGAAGATAGTGAGACAAACCAGGTGGAAATTCAAAGAGGAGTCAGACAGGGATGTGTGCTAATATTTCAGGAGGCACTATGGGAAAGAACTGAAGGTGTAAGAATTGGAGGGAGCATCATTAATAACATAAGATTTGCAGACGATACCGCAATCATGGCAGAGAATATAGACGATTTACAAACTCTCCTGGAAATCATTAACAGAGAAAGCAAAAAGATAGGACTAACAATGAATGTAAATAAAACCAAATACATGGTGATCTCAAAAAACCCTGTTGACAACATACAACTGACATTGGAGGGTAAACCCCTAGAGAGAGTCGACAAATATAAATACCTCGGAGCAATTATAAACTCACAGTTAGATCAAAAGCAGGAGATAAAGGTCAGAATAGAAATAGCTCAAAAAGGCTTTATAAAATATAAGTCAATGTTTACAAATAAGAAATTGAGTATGGCTATCAGATTGAGGTTCGTCGAATGTTATGTTTGGTCGCAACTACTATATGGGGTAGAAGCTTGGACTCTGAAAGCCCAATCTAATATTCCTTGAACTGCAAAAGTCTCAAATGAGGAAGTGTTAAGAGGAGTTGGACATGCCAGAAAGCTTATGAACACAATTAAAATAAGAAAAACATCGTATCTGGGCCACATACTCCGAAACGATAAATACTCTCTGCTACAAGTCATCATGCAAGGTAGAGTAGAGGGAAGAAAAGGCTTGGGAAGAAAGAAGAAATCTTGGCTGAGGAATATCAGAGATTGGACTAACCTCAGTGTTGAACAGATATTTCACGTTGCAAAAGATCGAGAAGCGTTTAAAGAAGTGATCGCCAACCTTCGTTAGAAGACGGCACAAGAAGAAGAAGAAATAAAGAGCTAGGAATACCAAATCAGTTGGTTAATTTAACAAAACTAACTCTTGAAAAAGTTGAATGTAGAGTACGAATTCAGGGGGAACTGTCTGAACCTTTTAAAACAAATAATGGGCTGCACCAGGGAGATCCTCTCTCCAGTATACTATTCCATCTGGCTCTGGAAAACGTAATACGTATGTCACAAATTACAACCACTGGGTCAATTTATAAAAAATCCACCTAAAGCAAATTCTAGATATCTGAACTTTAAACTCAGCAGACGCAGGGAGTGAACACAAACTCGTACTAGCAAAGATGAGAATGAAAATAACACCAAATCAAAATTTTCTATAGGAAATCACAGAGGAAAAATTCAATTTAGAATCACAACACAGTGTATACCAGTACAAAGCGGAGTCAGATAGGGTGAATCGTTAAGACCACTTCTCTTTAATATAATAATGGACGAAATAATAAAAGCAGTACGTAAAGGTCATGGCTACAGAATGGGGAACAAAGAAATCCAAATATTATGTTATGCAGACGACGCCGCATTAATCGCCTAGACAGAAGACGAGCTCCAAAGATTAACACATATCTTCAATACAACAGCTAAGAAATACAATATGATAATATCAGCAGAGAAAACCAAATGTATTTAAAATTAATTTAAATTTAAATACCCACTACGGTGTAAAATCGAAATTAATGGGAAAATAATAAAGTAGGAAGCAAGGTTTAGGTATCTGGGAATAGATATAACTAGTTACGGAGATGTTGAAAAAGAAGTACGACAACAAAGCTTAAAAGCAAGTAAAGGGGCCGGTTCTCTTAATGACACGATCTGAACACCTAAGACCAGACACAAAAACAAGAATCTATAAAGCAGCAATTAGACCTATATTGACATACACGGCGGAGACAAGACCTGACACATCTAAAACCAGACGACTGCTACAAATAACAGAGATGACTCCGACGACTATCGTGGAGAAGTCTGTTGGATAGGTAGAGAAACGAAAACATAAGAAGAGCATGCAATATAGAAGACATAAATGGATGGGTGACAAAACGAAAACAGGAGTGGAACGAACACATCAGTAGAATGGCAGATGATAGAATAGTACGAATAGCACTAGATAAGTCACCAAATGGACGAAGAAGTATTGGCAGACCAAGAAAAAGATGATGTGACAATTTAAACAAATTAGAAGGCTAATATTG